TTATACTGTTTGGAAGACTCATATTTTAATACCCACAGATAACTTGTAGGAAATGAGTATTTTAGTCCAAATGGGAAGTCTGTTCCAATGGGAAGTCCATTCAGAGAAGAAAATCAGAAGGTTGCTAAATTTAAGGTGATGAAATTTCATTGCAGTCGTACACTGTGCATGTACAGCATCATTCTCTCTCATCTGCCTGATGAATAAAACCACTGCCTATAAATGTGTTTTTACCAGATACAATTTTAACATTTTTAGTACAGCACAAACTTAACAGTTGAGAACTACCCTCTGAGCTCGTTTGGGGTTTTGTTTATTTCTGGAATCAAGATGCTTAAATTATTAGGTTTTTTTACTTTTTTTTTTTTATCATTTAGACATGATTAAGCAAATATCACTTTTTCATAACTCCTGGTGCTGAAAGCAAAGTATGAAACATCCATATATATTATATTCCTATAAACCCACACCTACCGACTGAATACATGGCAAGATTTTTGTTTAGCTACCTGGCATGTATAGCAGCCACTACATTAAGTATGATTTTTATAGCTGACTTTAACTGAGGTTTTTACAGAGACACACAGTATCACTTCTGTGATCATCAGCTGACACAGTGCATTTCTGGGACATAATCACTTCAGCTCTCTGGATTAAGACCAGTGAGCAACTAATAAAAGAGTCCTGTAACAAACAGACAAGGTGAGACTGTGAGACACACATGGGATCAAATTGCACCTCTGGGGAATACTACACGGTGTTCAGATACCTAGTGAGAACAGAGCTATCTTTATTGCTCCTGGTCATGTATGTTCCTGAGAAACTCGTGAACATTATTTTAAAACATAATTCTATTAATTTTGTATTGTAAGGAGACCAACTGTGCCCTTTCTCTGTTTTATGCAGTCACCCTAATAACTTTGGGTTGTAAGAGTGTGCACTACATCTTATCTGTCTTCCTGACTGCATCATGAACTTGATCTTAGTCCTAAATTCATTCTGAGGTAAGTGTGCTTTTACACAAGTTCTTCCTTGAAGGAGTCAGTGAGAAGCACTGTGGTGTCATCTTTGCTTTGCTATTTTCTCACCTCAGCATCAAGATTTGCACACTGAGATTAAACCTGAGACAGCCTGACAACTTTTATTCCATGCAAAGGTGATTTGGAGTTGATATTAATGAGAGCCATCTGTGCCAAGGTTTCAAATGTCAGCTCCCCCCACAGAAAAAAAAACAACAAAACAATCCAAACCAACTCAATAAACCATCTGAAAAGCAATGAGGAAGGAAGCCCAGAACTCTGGCTTTGGCCACCTTTGTGAGCCTGAGACAGATCTGTGCTAGGACTCTCTTCAGAGCTGTTACAGATACAGCTACAACCACAGGAAAGAATGAGTAAAATTGGTGGAAATGGAAACCTGTATCATCCAGTGGCTGGAAACCAATGAGGCTGGCATTCCTAAGTGGGAATCTCACTCCTGTTACAGGCAGGGTAGTAGCACAGGTCACATCCTGGACAGTGGCTCCAGCAGCAATTGCTGTATTAGCAAAAGGGGAAAAGCTACTGAAGAGACTATCAGAAAATAAATACTGCTAGCTCAAAGATGATAAATTTAGGGTCTACATACAAAATAAATAGATTCTGCAACAGTGAAAAACAGAAAAAGAACACTCAAGTTTCCAAAATATTTTCCAATGCTGTGGTGCTTCTGATATTTCAAGGACTATAAATTATCAGAAGTATTAGTTTCATTAATGCAGAAGGATGAACAGATACTAATCAACATGAATCTCTTTTTCAGCCAAAGCATTTTATGTTTGCTATTTAACTGCTTGTTATATTACACTATTTAGCAGAGTACTTTCAGCATTCTCTCTGTTTAGGAAGGAAATTATTGTGATAAATGTAACACCTGACAGTGATAACTGTTCAGTTCGCCATTTATCTGGTCACTGCATGGCAAGACAGCTCCAGTTTGAGGTTAGGAGAACCATTTAGAAGAAGGTATTTATCTTTTAGTTTACTCTGGTCATCAAATACTACAATATTTCATGACAAAACTCCACTGTGTCACTCTCCTGCGGCAACACTCTGCTGAAACCAGGAGAGACAATGAATTATAAAAAGAATATCCACCATTACATAAAAATACATACATTAATATTCAATATTGCATTGTGAATCAAAACAGATACCATTATGAACATACTTATCTGGGAACAGAACGGCTCCTAAATCTGTAATTTATTTAAAACTGGTGGAGGCTCAATGAATTTGTAAACAATCAAAAAGCAAATAGTTCTTGATGCTGGTGAAAATAATTCTCCCTCAGTTACTTATTAGTTAAATGTCAAATGTCTAAACATCCTATCCTTGTGATTCTATTTGAAAATAATACCAATCTTGTAACAAAAAGGAGGATGATTCCTGTATAATTTTAAATACTGAACCAAACCCACAATATATCAAAATCAGCAAATTTACTTCTTTTTTTCCTCTTTTTTTTTTTTTTTTTTTTTTTTTTTTTTTTTAATGCAAATGTTCATCTGTATTTGCTGCTTAGCTTCTTACAATGTCTTACTGAAGAAACTGCATTTCATGGTATAAACTCATGGTATATACCAACACAAACTGAGGCAACTCCTTATGTTTCTATAAGGCAGGATTTTGACTCTCACATTTTACTTCATATATAACATATACATTCTCACATATTATTTTATCAGTGAGAAAATATCATTAGATTGTTTTCTCTGTTCCAAAGGGAGATTAAGGACAAGCTTCTTAGTGAATTCATTTTAGAAGGAGACTCACAAACATGTTAATGACTTGCTGCCAAGCAAGTTAGATATTTCTGTTTGAATTGAGATGAAACTACAGTACTTAACTAAATTTACTAGGCACAAGTACATGAAATCCAATATTGATAACAATTTATGAAAGTAAGAATACTGATTCCTACAATACTGCAAACTTAGTTTATGATAACATAATTAGTTACACTAATAACACTGCTTAGGCACAGTCTTGCTAATTAGGATATTATAAATATTAATGATATCAAGTCTTTGTATTTGATTGCCCCTAGTAGGATCATTTATCACGGTATTTCCAGTTACCAGAGTTATATTATTTTTCTTCCTTTCCCTTGATTGTTCATTCCTGGACAAACAGCCATTCAGAGCTTATGCCAAAAATGTACTAATAGCTTATCAACAATGCAGCCTGCTTAACTTTAAATGCTATTATTTAGTAGGAATGTTACAATGGTATAATTCAGTGCTAATTCAAATACACAATAAATTATATTCTGTATGTCTTTTAAATATCTAACAGAGCCAGACACACAAGATTACATAGGGCTTTGTTTTTATTCTTTTTCATGTGACCTGTTTCAAGTTAAGATTCCTTTGAATTATTAAATGCTTCCTTAAAGCATATTTTCACGCAACCTTTTTAAAGTTAATTATCAATGTAGTGACAAGCAAAAAAAGACTAAAAATTAAAATTTTTTTCCTCATTCAAAAGGACACGAGAAACGTCTTTGACAATGGCTGTCTGTACAGTAAAATACAAAGGTAATACAAAGACAGAACACTGAGTGCAGCTTGAAAGAAGAATTACAACAAATCTGTAACATGAGTTGGAAATGCTGTGTAGGTTTCCACAGGTGTTAAAGGAAAGAAGTTTAGCTATAACCCTTTGAGCCTGGTTTAACTGCTTAACATAAGTAGATGAAAATGAAACTGCTTATATCGTGGTTTATTTTTAAGCAGTGTATTATCCAGAGCTTTAGGAAAAGGATTGTCTTTCCTCCTTGAAGGTAATGTTATAATTTTCAGAGCTCCACAGAGAACAACAACAATATAGGAGTCTCTAATCTCCTGCTAAATCCAATTCCAGTCATCAGCAATGATAAGCAGAGATTTGGAGGCGTTTGACACTCCAAATCCCATTCTTTTGTAATTCTTTACTTTTTACAACATTTTCAACAGTCGTACATCAGATTTTTGGAAGGATAATCAATAGGAATGATGTATAACTGAAATCAGTCTTCAAAGTGATCCCCTCTAGTAACCAGAAACAAAAGCTTGGCCTCCCTGCTGTGCAGGTATTTTGCTTAGAGCAGGAGGCAGCCAGGCATCAGCAGGAAGCCAGTTACACCTCCCTGCTTCTCAGTATGGATCAGCAGGTACCCTGGTGGAGGGTGAGCAGGGCTGGGGCAGCTGCAACCCATTGCATCTGTCAAAAATCTCCAAAAATGCTTTTGTAGCAGGTAACTATTAGAGCAGAGAGGAAAGACAGTCCAGAGGTTAGGATTTCATGCTGACCATCATTTACATTCCTATTTCATCACAGATTTTGTAGGTTTAAATGATCTTACAGAATTTATTAAATTGTCTGGTGTCACCAATCCTCACTTAGAACTTCCCTGTCCTGCAGACGATTTGGGCATCAGCACACATGAAGGACCACGAGATGCTCAGGTATGGTGATTGAAGGACCACTCTTATCTGACCTCACATTCCAGCTAACAGCTGGGCTGTGACTACCTGTCTCAGCTGCTCAGAGCCAGGGCAAGAGGGTTTTTGCATATCTCCTGAATGTTGCACCCTGGCTAAAATACCAGGACCTTCTGGCACAATATTAAGATCAATCTGAAGTGAGCTGAGTCTCATTAAAACAAGCAGTTCCAGAACTTGTTCTAATGCATTTTTAATTTTACATCCTATATTTTTTTAAAGACATGATGTTATGAATCACGTGAAGAGATCATATTTATAGTAAAAATGCTAGCCTGTATCAAGTAATTTCAAGTTTGTATTCTTAAGCTGCCTACGTATTTGTTAATATTCAGAAGGAAAATGACTTGGTGACTAATTATGACAGCAGCAGTGATTAATCAAGGTAAGTAGCAGAAACTGCATACAATGATTACGGAATTACATTCAAAACAAAGACACAGTGTTACTATAGAGGAATGGCAACAAAACAACATACCTTTCCCATCAGATCAGTAATTCTTGGTACTGGTTTTCCTTTCTGATGGCACATGGTTGCAGGACTCTGTCCATTCCAGTCTTCAAGTTCCTCAATGCTTTTCAGGTAAAGAAGAGCTTGCAGTCCCGTGCAGTAGTCATCAATAACAGTGAAATCTTGATTTTGGATCGCACTGCACACCTATGAAATACAAGTCAGTTATCAGCTCCGTCCTAGCACAGAAGCATATAGAATTAAAAAGCTCTTTGGATTTACTGATTATCAGGTGGCCCTTCCTGCAACCCCACTGGGAAAGAACTACAAGGATTCAGGATTATTGTCTGATTAATCCTAAATCATGATGTCACCACTGCAGTTCAAGAAAGAAAGGGCTCAATAACACCAGTTATGCCCACTTTACCCAGCAGCAGCCCTTGAACAAGACCTGAGGGCTGTTCAGAGATGAACCTACAAGCCCACCCCACATGTGCCTGCTGGAGAGCTGCTGCTGAGCATGCCAGCACACTGGCAAACCACCACCTGTGCTCAGAGCTTTGCCAGCAGACACCCAGTGGTACCCCCCAGCCTGCTCTGTTCAGGAAGCACAGGCATAACCAGTTAGGGCCCAGCCTAGCAAATCACAGAACCACAGACTTGCTGAGACTGGAAAGCATCTCTTGAGATGCTGTTATTCAACCTCCAGCTCAGAGAAGGGTCAACCAGAGGAGGCTACCCAACACTGCAGCTAGTCAGGATTTGAGTATCTCCAACTACACCTCTCTGGGGAACCTCATTCAGTGTTCAATCTCCCTTGAAGCTTTTTTCTTATATTCAATGGAATTTCCTGTGTTTCAGTTTGTGCCCATTGTTTCATGTCATTCCACTGGATAGCCCTGAGATGAGTCTGGATCCAATGGAAGTGTCTCAGCAAACACTCATTAAACTGACTGTATGGGGTGAGCATTGCCAGGCACAGAACAAACAATCCCCTTCTGCCACTCAGTAAAACTGGGAGGCCAGGCCACTTTATTTCAAATAAAAGCTTTTAAATACTTTAGAAGCATAAATAGCAATATAGCTTTATAAACATATAAAGTAGTGATCCCTGATCTGCAGAGCTAAACATGTACACACAAAACTACTGACAGCAGAAAATAGTCTGACCATTTACGTGGGTTCTTCTAGAGCATGTTGGGGATATCAGCTCAGGCTTAAACCCACAGAGATCCCCAACCATACTGACATGAATAAAAATATCCCCGACTGTTGTCTGAATACCTTCTCATTAGCTAAACTCTAATCAGCCATCAGTGACAAGGTGCAGGGTTGATTGAGTGCCATTAATTATCAGTCCCTGGAAATGCTCTGAAATTCCAGATGTGTCAATGTTTTCAGCCTCTGATTCAGCTTTTATAGTAAAAGCTGAAAGGAATGCTCCTGATAATACCTTGACTCCGTGCACACATAGTGAACACAACAAAGAAATAGCCACCCACTTTAGAACATGAATTGGTGCACACAGACATGCATAAACACATCCACACTTCTTGGATGTGGAAACACACTTTAAACCATAATTGACATCAACACTTAAATAGCACAGGGAATATACTATTGTTTTCCCCATTTCAGAAATGACAATACAGCTTGCAGTCCTGAAGACAGGTACACATCACATTGGGAAATACCACATACTACTACTGAACAGGAAAAAAAAAAGCTATAAAATAAGCACAATAACATTTTCTATGCAGTGCATTTACATTACAAAAAAAATGTGTTTCTCTGGAGAAACAGTGTGGGCATTAATTAGATCTGTTATACCTTCCACAGGCTTCAGGACTGTATTTTTTTTTGGATGGCAATTACAGAGAGCATCATAATTACTTCCCATACAGGTTATTTAACTGCAAAACTCCACTGATGCTTTTTGTACAGCAAGGAATTCTATGGGGTTTTTTTAGTGCATAGGTAACACTTTTATTATCTACTCTTAAAAATACTAAAACTGTAAAAAAAAAAAAAAAAGCAGTTAAAAGCCATGTCATGTCACTTGAAACAAGTTCAGACACTTTTGTCAAAATCCTGAAATATTTTGACAGGATGTATACACATGAGATACACCTGACGATACCTGTAATAATCTTATAAATAAAGAGTCTTTTACTGTTTTCCAGCTTGTGGTGCAGTGTTATGAACTGCAATAATACAAAAATGTGCATAAGATAATAACACACTAAGAGCTAACTATTTGTCTTCCCTGTGATTCTATATGCAATGCACTATTTATCTTCCCTGGAAAGCCAAGAAAGTTCCAGAACTCAAGGCAAAATGCAGCTTTTAAAAAAATGTAAATGTCTGCACTAAAGAAAAATGCTACACGACATGGAAAGGCTTAGAACAAAGAAATGGTCTCAAACAATCCTCCTCCTCTGTAGAAAGCTTATGACTATGGTGCCCAATGGTGTGGATAATTAGCAAAAGACATACCTTTCACTAATTTCATTGTGATAAAAGCAAGTGCCTATGTTTGTGGCCCTTTCCTAGAACAAGAGAGCTTCAAACATTAACACATACAAAGCCAACTGAAATAGTTTTGCCATGTATTTGGCAAATTCCAAAATTCTGAGCTTATGTTACACAAATCAGATGGTTAGATTTGTATTTTAGGTTTAAAGTATCTTCCATCAGTCAGTGTAGAAATCTTTGCTGCATTTTAAAAGGTGGTGAACGAAGTCAGGGTAAAAGGTCGCCATGACCCATCAGCCATGACAATTCCTACACCACAGAGAGAGGTTTTTAGCATCATACCTGGCTGCCTCTGAATCACCAGTTTAAATGACACTGTGTCCTCTTTTCAGCACAAGAGAAGCGGTAATAGACCAGGTGAGACTCAAACTCAGGCATCCGGAAAAATCACGGAAGAACTGAACCAGCCCATCTTCACACCTCATTAATGCCCTGCTCTGCTCCAGCTGCTTCACTGGGAGCAGGCACTGCCCTCCCTTGCACAGCTCAGAGCTAAGCCTGAGCCCCCTCTGCTGCACTCCAGGTATTGCTGTATCCAAAAAGGTTGCTACCACTTCTGATTTAATGTCTTATTAAACCACGTGAGGCGGAGGTAAAGGTGGGAAGTGCTGTGCAAGGGCTGCTGTCCCAGCCTCGCACGCCGATGGAGCAGCAGCCCCTCTCCTCAGCATCAGGCCGGTACCCACCAAGCACAGCAGAACGCGCTTCCCTTTAGACCCTGAAGCAAAAACCCGAACAGCAGCGAGGCCTTCCAAGTGAGAACACAGCCCTGTTGTGTTGTGTTGTGCCAGAGCAGTGTTCTGTACCCGTGGCATGAAACAGAGCTGCCCATGCGGATTGTCAGCCCCGCTGCTGGCAAGCAGCAGTGCTGGGACTTTGCACAGCAGGGATGGCACCTGCTTAATATCCCTTAATCCTAAATAATCCAAGTGGATCTGTTTAATGAGTAAATGAACATTCAGCTGTTCACTGACCCAGCCTTTCACCTGAAACGTTTAGGTAGAAGGTATCTTCTGTGGAAGATGAGAGACTGCCCCGTGGAACATCCTATGGGACAGAGTCACAACAAAGCTGTCAGCTCTACTGCTGACAAGTGCTGTCCTGCTGTCTTGCTTGTGTTGGTCTCTAGAAGCTGGACTTGAAGAGAAAGGTGCTACATTTTTCCTGTTTAGGAAGGTAACATGTATTATTCATATTGCACTAATATGCAGGGAAATGTTTGCATAAGCTTGGTTTTACTGCATTGCCTGGCTCTGTCCCAGTAGTAGAACTGCTACAATTTAATTTTTAACATGGGATCTCCTTCCTTTTCTCCCAGATCCAGACTCCAGTGACGGCTCCTTATATCCCAAAAGAGACACCTAGGCCAGCATGCAATCTATGGTCAATTATACTGTGCTCTCAGTATTCTGAAATCTAAAACTGCTCAGCATAAATTGCTGTAAGCAACTTAAATTACAATTCTAATCTGTGCAGACATGTCTGAGATACTAAAAGACACAATACCTGCTTTGCTGCTGGTAAACAGCCAAATTATCTCATTGGGAAGGGGATGTGAAATGAATCACAGGTTAAGGCTCTAAATAAAACTGTTCTGCAAAATGCAGTGATGGGAGAGGCATGCAAAGGTCCCTGCTGATGTCTTTCATAAGAAATGACCATTCTGCTCTATTACTAAATAAACATAAAAAGTGAGTTTGTCACAGGATCTAGACACATTACAACTCTTACTTGAGAAACTGGAGTAAATTGTAAGGAGATTATTATTGTGTAAAATAATTTTTATGGGTTACAAGATTTTTATTGAACGGTCACACAAATCTGAAACTTTTAATTCATATATTTTGAAGAAAAGTTCAGTGCTGGTAACAAGTATATCAGTCACAAAACATAGTGAATGCCTTTGCTGTTAGCAGAATCATTACACAATAAAGAGATGCCAATTTCTAAAGTGTTTACTGAGGCAAATCCCCTGCACTGTTTATTGAAATCTCTGTCTGTGTAAGACCTTTCAGCTTGTTCAGAAGCTGAGTTTCTAAAAGCAATGGGAAAAAAATACCCACACATTAGATTTTATTTCTGTTCCACTCTCTGCAAAAATGGAAGTGGTTCCTGTCCAAACTTTAGCATATCCTGAGGGACTGCATGGAAGACCTGTGCCATCCATGCAGAATTTGGACAGAGTGCCTGAGGCATTTCCAGCCAGATCATCCAGTAGAGCAATTCCTATTCAACGCATTTTCCCTTTAGGAGATCTTGTAGAGGCGAAATCTTTTTCTGTAGCACTAGAAGAGGAAACATTGAAGTCCTCTTCAGGCTGTGCAGTCTCTCTTACCCTACCTAAACTCATTATTATATGGAAAAATCCCAGCTGGACAGGTGATGATGGAGAAGATAGTGCCAAAAAGGAACCCTAGTCCCTATCTGCATTATTTCTATTCCATCAATAGCTGGGATTTCAGCAGAAGCCACAGCAGAAATGCAGATTTAGACATGCATGTATCAGTTTTCCCCCACACTACTTTCACCCAACATAAGGTATTGTGTATAATCTCATATACTGCTAGATCACCTCAGAAGACTGGAGCAGGTCAGAGAATCTAGACTGATCAATAATGTGTTGTTTTGCATGAAGAGAGTAAGTATTCTTGGTGTGACAAGACCTGTGTGAA